TTTTCAAAATTTAAGCTTTGACAGTAAAAATACTAAATATTGTATCTTTAAAATGAATTTTCATAAGCTATCACTTATTTCACTCAGCGCACCAACAGTCAAAGGTTTTCAGGATTTCAGATCAAAGAGGACATAATCTTTTCTACAAAAATAAAGTTTTCGTTGAATTTTATGCCTTTAAGTATATAACTTCAAACATCTTGCCGTTTTGACATATTTACATCGAAAGTTAACCTCATGAAAAAATTTCAAAATTCTAGATCTTTCTTGGCAATGAGATTTTATGGTACCTCATCTAGAACTCAAAAAGTACCATTTTTAGAATCGAATTTCGCAAAACAACCGCTCAACTTTTATCGCATTACGCTTCAAATTCAAATGACTCCCTTTGATATTGTGTAACCAAATACATTTTTTTTGGAATGTGTTTTTTTTTATTAACCTCCTGCTCGTCATGACACACAAAAAATGCCAATCATTCAAATAATTCTGTATAATTGTAAAAAAATGTGTGTCTCTGTGCTCAAAGGCCATGAGGCCGTAGCCGAATTCACTTGCACTTCCTATAGTGACTTCTTTGTTTCACTGACATCGTTTAAAGTGGATATTTAATTGGCAATTGTTTTTATGCTTTCACCAAACTTCCTTGTTTATGGATGACAAACAACGAACGAAAAGAACAAGTAAGCAAAGGCTACAGTCGAGCGGGGCCGACCGTTGAATACCCTACAACACTATAATAAACGATAAGGCGAGATACACGAAAGAATTCCACAATATATTGTGACAAATAATAAAAGAAAACCATCAGATTTCGTTCTCTAATTTTCTAATAATAGCAACTTTAACTAATTTGCTCATTTCCAATTTATTGGTAGATGGTCTTCCTAGATCTGGAACCAATATTTCCCAAGGACCTATAATCTCTCAGAAGTGGTAAAAGATTATCATATATAATTGGTTTTTGACTGAACGCGTCTATATGAGATACAGACATTTGACTATATTCTTCAACGAAATCAGCGTTAACGAAATAGTCAGAAGTGCGTCTTTCCTGTATTTGTTAATTCCCCAAAAAGTCACTGGAATGGAACATTTTCGTATTTTGTCTACAAAAGTTGGCAAACTATTTCACACACTGAATATTTTTGGATGGCCATCCAAAACTGCTTGGCTTTTGCAATGTCCGGTAACCCCCATTCAAATGTGCTTGAGGATCGGGCGACAATTACGACCTCCTGACAATTTTCCAGTTTTTTGGTCCATTTCAACCCCTAAATATATGGCGGTCATCTCCAAAAAGAGTAGGCTTCTATTCTGACCCTCATCTTATCTCAATGCAAAATTTCGTAAGGATCGGGCCATAAATGCGTTCTGTATATGATATTCTGATATCCTAACTACTTAGTTTTGTTAGCTATAGAAATATTACCAAATGTTTAATTCAAAATGAAAATATGCCAAAAATATGACAAAATTGAAAAAATATGAGAAAATGTTAGAAAATCAATATTTTCATCTTTAGAGAGATATTTTTATGCGATTTTTTTAGACGTTTTTTCTTTCCTGCCAAGAGGCCATTCTAAATTAATGAGAACTGTCGAAATCAGTTCAGCCGTTCTCGACATATAAGAGATTTTTCAAGCATATCTTCTTTGATAAACATATATATCGCACATATTTTGTTATATATCCGATTTGTTGGATGTTAACATCAATGTAAAGATCAGAAGTAACCTTGTCATGGCTTTGTGATTTCGCCGGGATTTAAAATATTCGCGGTTTAATGAAAAATTTTGAATTTTTTCAACACCAAAGATATGGTCTATTTTACCCGCTAAATATTATCCGATGACCACCCAAATTGGTAGGCTTCTTCCCTGCTCTAAACTCTAGCTACATGCGAAATTCCGCGTCGATTGGTCTATAATTGCGACCTGTATAGCTACTGCAAAATCCGACATTTTTTCAGTATTTGGTCCATTTCAACCCCTAAACATTTGGCGATCATCTCCAAAAGAAATAGGGTTCTATTCTGACCCTAGCCCCACCTCCATTCTCAATTTCGTGAAGATCGGACCATAATTGCGACCTGTAGAGTGATTACAAATTAACATGGACAGACGGACAGACGGACGGACGGACATACATAGCTAGATCGACTCAGCTCGGCGAGCTAGGAAGATCCATATATACTTTCCTATGTGGGAAATCAATATTTCGTGGTGTTACATAAATTTTGGCCCAATCAAACTTATAATACCCCCAACACATAGTGTTGTAGGGTATAAAAATCGCTTCAGATATAGCTATAGCTCCTATATATATGTTTCATCCGATTTGGTGTTTAAGTCCCTCAAATTCGTAACATTCATAATATGCATGTTAAATGGTTGAATTTAGGTTATGTACCTTCTTAGCATCAAAAATCATTATTATAATCTTCGAAAAACATTTGAAAATCATGAGACAAAACTGCGAATTATTTTCAAAATTAAAGCTTTGACAGTAAAAATATTAAATATTGTATCTTTAAAACGAATTTTCATAAGCACTCACTTATTTCACTCAGCGCACCAACAGTCAAAGGTTTTCAGGATTTCAGCTCAAAGAGAACATAATTTTTTCTACAAAAATAAAGTTTTCGTTGAATTTTATAACTTCAAACATCTTGTCGTTTTGACATATTTACATCGAAAGTGAACCACATGAAAAAATTTCAAAATTCTAGATCTTTCTTGGCAATGAGATTTTGTGGTACCTCATCTAGAACTCAAAAAGTACCATTTTTAGAATCGAATTTCGCAAAACAACCGCTCAACTTTTATTGCATTACGTTTCAGATTCAAAATGATTATTATCAAAAAATATACAAAGACCATTGACTCCCTTTGGTATTGTGTAACCAAATACATTTTTTTGGAAAGTGTTTTTTTTTTACTAACCTCCTGCTCGACATGACACACAAAAAATGCCAATCATTCAAATAATTCTGTATAATTGTAAAAAAATGTGTGTCTCTGTGCTCAAAGGCCATGAGGCCGTAGCCGAATTCACTTGCACTTCCTATAGTGACTTCTTTGTTTCACTGACATCGTTTAAAGTGGATATTTAATTGGCAATTGTTTTTATGCTTTCACCAAACTTCCTTGTTTAAGGATGACAAACAAATAAAGACGAAAAGAATAATTTCATAAAATAAATAAGTGCTTTTTGCTGAGTTACTATAAAAACATTCCTGCAGTACATACAGGGTGAGATGAAAAAACTGCAACCAAACCATTTCTAAGCCACACGTCCGACAGCTGTTAAAATTATTCCAGTGAGAACTCATTATATTGTTTACATTTTGGTGAGAATTTTCCAGAAAAAAAGTTATTCGTGATGGAATTCAAGCGTGATAGTGTGATATATTTATATTTGTCTGGAGAACCACAAGTGGCTATCGTTAGAGCACTCCAGCATTTAAATGTGAATAAATATTTTGTGTCTCGTACCATCGCTCGTTACCGTGATACTGGTAGCGTAGCCCGACGTTAAGGAAGTGGACGGAAGGAAACACCAACATCAGCAGAAATGGTTCGAAAAGTAAAGAAGCGACTGGCCGAAAAATGGTTCGTGAGCTGAACATATCGCAATATTCCATTCGGCAAATATTAAAAAATTAGCTCGGGGTAAAGCCATTGAAATTCTAAAAAAGTTCAAGAACTTACACCGCAACATAAAGATAATAGTCTAAAAAGAGCTAAAGAGTTGTTTCGCTTGGCAGAAAGTGGTGAACTGCCGAATTTGGTTTTCTCCGAAGAGAAAACATTAATTGTCCAGAAGTTTGTAAACAAACAAAATGGTCGTGTTTATGTGCCAAAGAGGTCAGCTGAAAATGTGCACCTTCGGTTGACCACCAGAACTCAAGCGCCGGCCATGGTGATGGTGTGGGCCACCATAAAAGCCGATGTTCGCTTTTAGCTCGTATTAATCGACCGTGACATCAGAATAAATGCCGAATATTATCGCGAAAATATTCTGGAGGGTGTGTTAAAGCCTTGGGCACGCAAACGCATTTTGGCCGCAGACCTTGGACATTCCAACAGGACTCAGCACTATCGCACTCAGCACTCGCCACCCAAGAATGATTACAAAATAAGATTCCTCGCTTCATTCTCAGCGCACAAAGTACCAAAGTGTAGATCATCTCAAGCAAGCGCTTCGCCGGGAATGGACCAAAATACCGCAGAGCAATATTCGAGTAGCGTGTGACGGTTTCATTGGCCGTTTGAAGGCCATAATTCGTGCCAAAGGTGATCAAATCGAACAAATCTGAACTTACTCTAAAATTTGATGCTATTTCCGACTTTTTTGTTTTCATTCAATAAAATTTAAAAAAATGTAAAAATTATGGCGTTAGACTCTGTTGCATTTTTTTTATCTTTTTGTTTTTTGAAAGAATATATTTTCAATTTCAATATTATGCAAAGATTTAGTTTAAATCTTTCTTTTTCCAAGCCACACACTTAAAACGATTTGGCCGCAAATCATCATAAAATGTGGGAAGGCCACAATTTAAAATAGACGTCACATAACGTTACCAAATAGTTGCTTTTATATTTTTTTTTGGATAATAGCATTTATATAAGGGCAACCCTACTTTTCAGATATCTAAATCATATTTCCTAACCAATTTGGCTAGAATTTGATTTTTCTCAGTATAAAATCACTTATTCAATATATTAAATGAGAATATGGTTAAAAAATCCCGATGATTCACATTAAAAATCATTCCGGTCGCATTCGAAATCAAACGTTAAAAAATGGGGTTGCTATCAAAATCTCCTACAATTTCTCTCTGTGTGTGTATAACCGACCGATGTGCGTTACTACACTACACATCGACTGCGACGTTTATTTTGACGTCAACAGCGACGACGACGACGATAACGAACATCAAGTGTTCGCAGTATGAGCGTGAAAATCTTTCAGTTGCAAAATCTGCTGCAGGTCTCATTCGATCGACAAAAACCCGCCGGAAGCCAAAGAAGAAACAACAGCAAACAAAACAATGAATACGCTCGTCTGCTTCGCCACCACCATGTACGGAACAGTAACAACAACACCAGCAACAACACACAAATAAACAACAATCGAATAAACATTTAATAAGAAGAAAAAAAACAACAAATCGAATAATAGAAATAATAACACAAAAAAATCTCGCTGCAATTGAGAACGTAGCGTTTAAGAAAACCCGAATAAGAAAAAAAAAAAAACACAAATAATAAAAGTCAACAAACAAACCGGCCACAATTTCGCTGAATATATAAAACGTAGTGCCCAGCCAGCCGCCCGTTGACAATCATTCAGTTAGCCAATGTAACACGACAACAATAGACACGAAGTCTCTTTAGCTTACTGCATCACATACCCAGTGTGTAACGGAAATTCAAAATAAATAAAATTGAAACGGATTTTTATGCAACAACAAGAAAGCAATAATATAAAAGGAATGCCAATTTATGTCCTTTAAAAGGATAGTTGAAATAATTTTAAAAGATTTTTCCAATTCAAAATTTGAATAAGAAAACAATTTAAGAAAATTGTTCAGTGAAAAAATTCCAATTGTTTTTTTATTCCCAACGCCAAAAAACCAGCTGGCCAAGTGTAATCGATCAACCATCTTCCAGCCAGCCAGTGAACCAACCGCAAGCACTCACATCACTTCACTTCGTTTTTTAAATTGTCGTTGTTTTTCAACTTTTCTCATCATCTGAGAAAGCCAAGTGAGAGAAGAAGGAGAGTGAAAATTGTATTTTCCATTCGTCGTGGCGAATGAGTGCTGACTGCTGTCTGCTTGGCAAAAACAAATTGAAAATTGTGTACAACAACAACTAAACATTTCGCTAAAAAAGCCATAACAACATTTATCAAAAGAAAACAAAAGAAAAAAAAGATACGTCGGCAAGAAAATCACCGAAAAGATAAACAGCCATATGTTTCACGATTTTTTGATATTTGCAATTAATTACTGTGCTTTACCATTGATTTGTTTAACTTAAAGAAGCTGAAGAAGAAATTTCCACCAGAACCTAAAACACACAAAAAAGAAAACATAAATAAATAAATTAATTAAAGAAAAACATCAAAGAATTATAAAAAACGAAAATCTGTTATCGGTAACAATAAAACACACATTTATTGCAATAATTTGACGCATTCCGCTCCGCTTATTAATTTCAACATTCACAAGATTTATCTACGAAAGAGCAGCAGATCACCACTCTGTTTACTTTGCATTCCCAATCCGACAGAAGAACAACAAATCGTCGCCACCATGGAAATCGAAAATATCTCACAAATGCTACAAAATAGTCGCACATTTGCTAAAAATGATGCGATTATTATTGAGCCACGATATACGGTGAGTAAAATTTCACTTGAAAAATTTGGAACTATTGAAAATGAAAAATGTTCGGAAAAGCTGTTCATATTTTTTTTTCACGAGGTTTAAAATAATGTCATCAGTTTGATTTTTACTTCAAGAATATAAATATTTAAAATTGTGTTGGCGACGGCTTTTCATGTTTTCTCTCTTTTTTCTTTAATGGAAAATATATGTATGCGTTTTAACAAATACCCACGCTTTACGCGGAAATATTAGAAAATTCCGATATTTGACTGTCTAAAAGGAGGAATTTTAAACTAGGTTCAATATATTTAAAAATTCAAAGGGTGTCGGCATTGAAATTTCGAAATTCTGTAATTCAACCATGTCACAATGATAGTGGTTATTCAAGAAAATAACATCCTTTTTCGAGAATAAAAAAAAAAAAACTGCAACAAAGTCAAACGCCATAATTTTTACATTTTTTTATACCCACATTCACATTCTGAGTCGATTTATGCATGTCCGATCGTCCGTCCGTCTGTCCATGTATTTTTGTTAACAAAGTACAGGTTGCATTTATTGTCCGATCCAGATGAAATTATGCAGAAATAATGACCCATGGACGAACCCTATTGAAATTGGAGATAATCGGTCAAAATTTAGATACAGCTCCCATATATATCTTTGTCTGATTTGCCACCAAACGTGTAATATTAGCCCAAATATTATGGAATTCTGCACATACGAGCAGATTAGGCCTAATGCAAAATTTTCTCGAAATCGGTTCAGATATAGCTCTAGCTCCCATATATATTGTTCTTCCCATTTTTTATTTTAGTCCTCCGCAGCCGTAATATGCACTCTGTAACAAATAATATTTGGGAACAAATACCAAATACAACTCACAAATACCTTTGCTAAATTTTATCGAGATCGGTTCAGATTTGCATATAGCTCCCATATATATCTTCGTCTGATTTGCCTTTTATTGTGCACCAAACGTTTAATATTGGCCCCAATAGAATGGAATTTGGCACTTGCGATCAAATTGAGTCTAGAAACAATGTCAGATTTGGTGAAAATCTGTTCAGATATAGCTATAGCTCCCATATATATTATTCATCCGATTTGTTGAATTTGTCCTGCCCAGCTGCAATATGCACTTCGTAGTGACGATATTCGGAGAAATATGTCAAATACAGCTCAGAAATACATTTGCAAAAATTTATCGAGATCGGTTAAAATTTGGATATAGCTCCCATATAGATCTTTATCCGATTTGAAGTTAATTGTGCACCAAAATTGGTATTACAAGCCCGAATTGTAAAGGCACAAATGCCCCGGCAAATTCAGTAGAAATCGATTTAGAGAAGGATATTCCTCTCATATATTAGTTCCTTTGAACTTTAAATTATAACTATAATCGTAGTTGGTATGATTTAATTCTCACAAAACTTTTGTTTCGGTCCCGCCCGACTTCAAGTTTTCCTTTACTGTTTTAAATTTTATTGAATGAAAGCAAAACATGTCGGAAATATCATCAACTTTTATAATAAGTTTAGATTTGTTCGAATTGATCACCTTGGGCACGAATTATGGCCTTCAAACGGCAAATTAAACAGTCACACGCTGCCCGAATGTTGCTCTGCGGTATTTTGGCACATTCCCGGCGAACCGCTTGCATGAGGTGATCGACACTTTGGTATTTTTTAGTGCCAACCTTGCTTTTCAAAATAGTCCAGACACAATAGTCCAACGGATTGGTATTCGGAGATTTTGGTTGCCATTGTGCGCTGGAAATGAAGCGAGGAACCTCATTTTGTAACCATTCTTCGGTGGCGCGTGCTGAATGCGATGGTGCTGAGACCTGTTGGAATATCCAAGGCTCTAATACACCTTTCAGAATATTTTCGCTATAATATTCGGTATTTATTCTGATGCCACGGTCGATTAATACGAGCGAAGAGCGACCATCTGCTGTTACGGCGGCCCACACCATCACCATGGCCGGCGCATGCATTCTGGTGGTCAACCGAAGGTGCACATTTTCAGCTGACCTCTTTGGCAGGTAAACACGACTATTTTGTTTGTCTACAAACTGTTGGACAACGAATGTTTTCTCATCGGAGAAAACCAAATTCGGCAGTTCACCACTTTCGGCCAAGTGAAGCAACTCTTTAGCTGAGTCTTTTTGGTTATGTGTGTCCGTCATTACTGTGAAATTATAATCTCTCTACAGATTGCTATAAGGGTCCGATCCTCAAAAAATGTTACTTCAAATACCAATTTGGAGAAAAGTTTGACCAAAACAAAAAATTTCTCGACTTTTTTTAAATTTTAATGGGGAGGTAAAAGAATAATTGAGACAACATTTACCGTTTTCGACCCATTCTGTTCTTCCTTCCTTTTATAAATGATATGATATGTAAATTTCGAACTATATTTTCACTGAACATGAGATTTTATTCAGTTTCTCATTCAATATTTGACCCGTTGTGGAAGAGATACCACAAAGAGGGGTCCATTCTATCCTATCTTCATGCTAGATCTAGAGTTCTAAGAAATATTGGGAACGGCGAAACTTAAAGATGATAGAACTCTTATTTCACATTTTATAAGATTTATGATAGTTCGAAATTTTGAGCCTTTGTGTAGGAGGTAAAAGTGGCTTAGATCTGATACAAAATTTTGGATATACCAAGTTTGAACAAAATACGGATACTACCTTTGCTTTCTGTGAGATTTGGAATTTTAAAATTATAGTAATTTTTTTACTATTTATGGGGTATATATTTATATACTAAAAGTGAGGACCGTTTTTTATACCTTCTGCTGTAGTTTTTAAACTTCAAAATTTTGGGCACCAATTGTTGATTTTGGAAACTTTAGGGATTATTTGGGAGGAAAACATTTTTTTCGATCGACAACACTGTACAGGTCGCAATTATAGACCAATCGATGCGAACAAAATTTAACGGATAAAAAAATACAAAATTTTCCGTTCAATTAAAAAAAAATCCTAAAGTCACTTTGCCGACGAAATTACAAATACATGAAAATTACACTTTGACGTTTACAATGATTGACTGATTTTGTTGAAGTTCATGGTTAGATTTCGAAGATATAGCTAAATATATATGGGAATATATTTTGTTTTAATTTCCACTGGCACGACAGGGGGCGTTAATATAGGGCAATTGCCCCGAAATTTTGCATGGTCTAGTAGCTATTGACAAAAACCTAAATAACTTTTTGCATGGCTATGTGACATTATTTTTAGAATGCATGAAATACTTGAAAAGAGTTCTGAATGCAAAATTTAGGATTTTTCCGCTGGACCTAAATGAGGTGATTAATCAAATTCTGTATGAACGGATGCTATACTTTTTTAGTTTTTGTAGATAATGTTAATGCTTTTAAATTGAGAACGATCATATCGCTTACAACTTCTAACAATCATAATTTATTTTATTAATTTATTTATTTGTAATCAAACTACAGGTCAAATTTATTGACCGGTTGAGACAAAACAATGCACAATTCATTCATTTTGCCTAGGGCAAATCTTATTGAAATTGGAGGTAATGTGTTCAGATATACCACATACAGGCCCACATGTGTATTTTTACCCGATGTTCAGTTTTATTTTAAGTGCGTAAAAGCGCATATCTTTTTTATTCTTATAACCGAGATTTGAGCTGGATCTACAAATTACGGTACCTATACACAGGGTGAGATGAAAAGACTGCAACCAACTTCAGATTGCTTTCATTTCTAAGCCACTCGTTTGGCAGCTGTTAAAATTATTCCAGTGACAGCTCATTATATTGTTTATAAGCAAACAAAAGCACTTTGGTGAGAATTTTCCAAAAAAAAAAAAAAAAAAAATATTCGTGATGGAATCCAAGTGTGATAGTGTGATTTCTTTATATTTGGCTGGAAAACCACAAGTGGCTATCGTTAGAGCACTCCAGCATTTAAATGTGTGTCTCGTACCATCGCTCGTTACCGTGATACTGGTAGCGTATCCCGACGTCAAGGAAGTGGACGGAAGAAAACAGCAACATCAGCAGAAATGGTTCGAAAAGTAAAGAAGCGACTTGATCGAAACACGCGTCGCAGAGGCCGAAAAATGGCTCGTGAGCTGAACATATCGCAATATTCCTTTCGACAAATATTGAAGAATGAGCTCGGGGTAAAGCCATTGAAATTCCAAAAAAGTGCAAGAACTTACACCGCAACAGAATGAAATAGATTAAAAAGAGCTAAAGAGTTGCTTGGCCGGAAGTAATGAACTGCCGAATTTGGTTTTCTCCAATGAGAAAACATTCGTTGTCCAGCAGTTTGTAAACAAATAAAATGATCGTGTTTATTTGCCAAAGAGGTCAGCTGAAAATGTGCACCTTCGGTTGGCCACCAGAACTCAAGAACCAGGAAATGATAATGGTGTGGGCCGCCATAACAGCCGATGGTCGCTCTTCGCTCGTATTAATCGACCCTGGCATCAGAATAAATGCCGAATATTAACTCGAAAATATTCTGTAGGATGTATTATAGCCTTGGGCACGCAATCATTTTGGCCGCAGATCTTGGACATTCCTCATTACAAAATGAGGTTCCTCGCTTCATTTCCAGCGCACAATGGGCACCAAAATCTCCGGATACCAATCCGTTGGACTATTGTGTCTAGAGTATTTTGGAAAGCAAGGCTAACACTAAAAAAGTGTCGATCACCTCAAGCAAGCGCTTCGCCGAGAATGAGCCAAAATACCGCAGAGCAACATTCAGGCTGCGTGTGACGGTTTCATTAGCCGTTTGAAGACCATAATTCGTGCCAAAGGTGACCAATTCATACAAATCTAAATTTATTCTAAAATTTGATGCAATTTCCGACATTTTTTGCTTTTAATCAATAAATTTTAAAATAAAATGTAAAAAATTTAGCGTTTGACTTTGTTTCAGTTTTTTTTTATCTCACCCTGTATATAGATAACACGAATAACTTGAGTATTTCTTCTTCAGGAAACGCAGCA